AGGTGTTTGTAGCCCCAACATTTTACTGGTAGGAAGCAAGCTGAGGTTATTCAAATCTATTGTAAACACAAGCTACAGTCATCCCTTGGTATCTATGAGGACTGGTTCCCGGACCTCCCATGGATACCAAAATCTATAGACGGTCAAGTCCCTTATATAAATGGTATAGTATTTGCATAGAACCCAAGCATGTCTTCCTGTATACTTTAAATCATCTCTAGATTACATACAATACCAAATACAATGTAAATGCTATGTAAATAGTTGCCATATTCTATTGTTGGGAAGAAGAACCAGAAAAATAAAGTCTAGCTCCTGTTCAATACAGATACAATTTTCTTAAATAGTTTTAATCCACAGCTGGTTGAGTCCCTGGATGTAGAACCCATGGATATGCACTGGCTGTACTTTTATGCAATTATGACTATTTGGTTGCAAACACAAACTACTTTTTAATTAGAAGAGAAAGGATGCCTCAGAAGGCAAAACAAAGAGCCCAAAGGGTAGGGCCAAATGCCAAAGAGAACAGTTCACAGGGACCGGCCATTCATCCATAATTAAGGAATTGGTAACATGTGCCCAGTTGGGTTTCAGAATTGCTGTGGGCTAGTGACTACTGTATCTTCCCATTTCCTCCATTCTTGAATGGAAATGGCTTTTGTCATAACCATATTCCAGTCTTATTGTCTGTTGAAGGGAGAAAAGTGAGGTAAGATAGCTTGTATCTTTCAGTAACAGGTCTTCAGAGTGAGAGAAACTATGCCCAAGAAACCAAACCAAGTCATCTCTTCCATGCTTGAACCTAAATTAGATGGTGAAGCCTGGACCTCAATTCTGAGCCTGATGCTATAATGGGATGAGACCTCCTGACAAGTATGTTGTCTGTAGGATGAATATAAATAATCTGCAGGCAGAGAGCAGACTATGTTAATTTTAAAACAGGCCTACAAATTCTTTTACACTCCTCCTGTCAAGAGTTGGGGTCTAATGCCCTCTTTTGCTGAAAGAGCACTCTGCTTAGTGACTCATAACCAATAGAATGTCTTAGAAGTGATGCTCTGTGACTTCTGAAGATAAGTTAAAAAATTCCACATAACGCCTGCCTAGTTCTTTTAGGACACTCACCTTTGGAGCTCTGAACTACCACATAAGAAGTCCAACCATCCTAAGACCATCATGCTTTGAACAAGCCCAGGCCACATGAAGAAGCCACACATGGATATATGACTGACGGCCTCAGCTCACATCCCAGAAGACTGACAGCACAACCACCAGACAAAGATGGTTTCAAATGATTCTGGCCCCTAGCTGTCAAGTCACCCCCCAAACATCCTGCTTCCCCAACTGAGGCCCCAGACATCATTGAGCACAGAGAAGTTACCACCACTGTGCCCTTCCAAATTCCTAGCCTACAGAAACTTTAAGCATAATAAAATGGCTGTTTTATGCCACTAAGTTCTGGAATAGTTTGCAACGACATGATAGAAACCAGAACAATATTGTAAAGGAAAAATTCATACTTTCAGTTTTCAAACAAGAAAATCAGAATAAAAAGAGGTTAAGTAATTAACAAAGTTTGCAGAGACGCAAAGCAAAGCAATAATTCTGAAACAGACTAATCTGATTCTAAAATCAATGTTTATAATCATCATGCTACACTATATTCCATAGAGATATCCCTACCTCTGTGTCTTTTCCTATTAATATTTCCCTGGCAAAGAATTATATGCACACATTATCTGCCTCTGTAAGACCAAGCCATCATTCAGGGCCATATTGAATCCTGTCTCCTCCATGAAGCACATCCCTAGACTTCAAACATTAACAATTTCTCCCTCTTCCAACTAGTCTTGAACTTATTTTCCACAACTTTCAATCAAAGCAATTCGTGAATATGTGAATACTAGTGTTTCTAAATCACAATTAATGAATTCATTGTTTTTCCTATGTACAGTCCTAGGCTACCCTGTGGATTTTCAACTCCGAACATCTATAGGATTGATCAAAACAGGAACTAAGTATCAGTGAAACGGACTAGATGCAAAAGAACAAAAGTGGTCTGGATTAAGTTAAACTGGGAAGCAAATGCCCCACATAAGTGAGTCACCACTACCCAGCTCTAGCATAGTGATTTTCATGATAGCATATATCACTACCTGACATATTATATATTTTTTGTTTATTGCCTCTCTCCCCTCATTAGAATATAAGCTCCCTGGGAGCAGGAAAGTTTTCTGCTTTGTTTGATGCTATATCACAAGAGTCTAGAACAATACCTGTCATTCAGTCAATAAATACCTGTTGAAGGAATAAATGAATGAACAAGTGGTACCAAATAGGAGTATAACCTAAGTGTTACAAGAGCTTTCCATTTTTCAAGAGAAGCCAGAAATAAATAAGTTTATGTGCAATCTTCTACTTTCTAAATGTTGACAACTAATATAAAAAAATGTTAAGCCATTTTGGGGATGGGTAAATAAAACATGGCTGCAGCCTTGGATTCAGTCTGAATACTTGAATTTGCAATCTCTGTACCAGAAGGATTTTAGATTTTTAAAAAATGTTTCTAATTACTTAGAATAGAGCCTTGCAAAGTGTAGGTAGCTTGATAAGCAAAGAAAAACAGTGATGATGATGTCTCAAATATTCACATTTATGGCCCTGCTACCATTTAGCTGTGTATTATTTATATGCTACTCAAGTTCCTCTTTCATATCTCAAAGAAAATTGCTTCAGTTTCTGATCTGAAATGACCACCTGGACTTCCTGTGACCATCCTACATCCAAGATTCTAAAGCTAAACTTCCACTCCTTCCAGCTGTTAAGTGTTGAGAAATGTCATTCTCATATGCTCTGAATAATAAAGGGGAAAGGCAGTGAAAAGAAAACAGATTGTATTTCAAAAGAGTGACAGAAAAAAAGGAGGTAAGTTTTAAACTATATTTCCACAGTTGATAAATAAGAGCTCCCAATGGCAATTTTGTTTTCTTTTTTATAGATGTTAGTATTTTAGGTTATGCAATCTAAAATTTTATTTCAATTGACCTTTCAGTGTTCTCTGGTAGAATGTTTTATCATTTCTACATAAAAATTATTAAGCAAGAATTTTAAAATATTTACTAATTACTTAGAGATTCTTAACTCTAATAAAAAGTCACATCTAAATAACTATTAGAGTGTGTCTGGCTTTAAAACATGGGTCACTTAGCAATAAGCATAATTGTTTAGGGCTGAAAACACTTTTAAGATACTTTAAAGAAAACATACTAGAAAAAAGAATTTCCAATGTACCCTATGCTAGTTGACCCACAGCAAGTCAATCATCAACTTTTGAAGACGTAAAATGAAATGAGGTGTCTTCATGTTCCATGTCTGTGCATGGTCCAATGAGTACAGCCTTGAAATGCCCACAGAAGACATCAACAAACATCAGAGAAATTCAACATATCAAATGATTATAAGTCCAAAAGAGTAAAACGCCTACTAGCCTTCTAAAAAGTCTGCATTTAAAACATGATGTTAATGATTAGATAGATGAATTCATTACAAGCAGTTTTTCAGTAATAGCATTGATTTTGTATGCTGGCAGATTTTATTTCTTAAACAGGTCCCACGGTGATTTAAATTAAAAGTAACAGTGAGGAAAATTTCTGTAGCCAAAACTATTTTTCAAAATTTAGGTTATTTTAGAACTATCAACTTCCTACAAATTAAAAATATAGATTTCTATTCACCTATTTTGCTGTGTTCAAGCAACACTGAATACAAAGGTTACTGGATGAGAAGAATCACAATCTGAATTTTCTTATAGACACACAAGTGAAATAGTGGAACACAGAATTCGTAAGGTACAGGGGGAAAAGCCCAAAATGTAGGATCAAACCAACCAAATTTGATTTACAGCTCTACCATTTGCTTACGTTTAGCCCCTGGACAACTTACTTAATCTCCTTAAACTGTACTCGATTTACTTTACTCATTTGGGGAAAAAAAAAAAAAGTGGAATCATAATACCTTGTCTTAATATTAATATGAAAATTAAAATAAATGCATATATATCATGTAAGCCATTGAAATGAGGCAAAAATTGTTAATTCAACATGGCATAGCCTACCCTAATGCAATGTAATTGCATGTAAAAAGTGCCTAGAATACCATGGTGTCACAAATGATAGCCATCAAAGAGAATCCAATAGATTCTTATTACAAATTTAATGCAGACAATGCTCCCTTTATCTCATCCTTCCTAAGAAAATAAAAATAAAATGAAATGAAAATAAGTTGCAAGATATTATCTACAATAAAAAATCACTTATGTGAAATTTTAAAATATGTCATGTATTGTATGTGTGTGTGTGTGTGTGTGTGTGTGTGTCTATACACAGATATGAAATAATTGCAGGATAATATGTATGGAAATAGCAGACACCAAATTCAGGACAGTGTTGATCTCTAAGGGAAAGGCCAAGGCAATGAGATCAAAGGATGGTTACATGGAGAGCTTCAACTGCATCCTATGTTTTACTTTCTCAGCAATAACATTAGACTGAAGATGGTAAAATATTTAGTTCTGTTGATCTGGCTAGTAGGTATATGGAGTTTACTATATTACTCACCATATGTTCTGTACATTTCAAATATGTTACAATAAAAAGAAGTAGCTTTCCCAGTCATACAAATAGGCAATTTTCCAAAACAGACAGCAGCAGCTGTTCCAGAGATGTACAATAGTGCAGGTAGAGATAAGGAAGAATAAGGATGATGGGGGAGGGAGGTGGAGGTGGTTAAGGGAATAAGAGTGCTGGGTATAGAAGACAGGTTTCTCTCTGACACTTTGAAACCAGTAAAATATGTAACCCCCCTGCCCCATAAGAATTAAAGAAAGAATTCCACTATATAAGGTGTAAAAAGGTTAGAAATGATTCATCGTTAATCCAGAAATCAGGTTACTTTACACAGTATACATTATCCAAAATCATCATTAAGCCGAAAATACTTACTATAACCCCACTCTTGGTGGTAGTTTCTCTGTATGTGAAGTTGCAAATTGCCCAGGCTAAATAATATGTGGACATGAGAGGGGTCTGTGAAAAGTGATCCGTAACCCATCCATCTTCCTCAAACACAGAAGTTTCCACTGGCATATTAGATAAAGATAAATAGGTTGCTTGATGCTTGATGCTGATTTTGAAAGTAGCCTTGTAGATTGGCTCATCAAAACAAGGAAATGCCTTTCTGGCATGTGTAGGCGAAAACTGAGTAACACCAAGGAATCTGGAAAAAAGAAAATGACATTCTCTATTACATTCATGTTATGAGTTAAGTTATGGCCACATTTCACACGTCTGTTGATGAAATAATATATTATTCCAAATTGCAATTATTTTTGTGAACCAAACTTAAGTGCATGAATAGTATGAAAGCACAATCCATATGTAATATACTTCCCCAACCATAGAAGATTTCAGGGCAGTTTCTGTCTCAATTAAAATAAATTCGCTAAACCCAGAGAAGTGCTTGTTAGATGAAAGATGACACACCACAGAAAAACAGCTCACTGGCATCACACTGGCCAGAACTGGAAAGTGATGATTCTCCTTTTTGGTGTGCTTCACTTTCTTCCCTGAAGCTGCACAACATGTCAAGACAATGAAATCAAAATCCAAAAATTGTCCTCAGATATATGAAGAACATCGATCATCACTTGGGAAATATCTGTGCCCTAAAATCTCAACAAGACACGGCCTGGTTTTGTTCAGAAAAGGGATTTTGAGACCTGATAAATTCTGGTCTGAATTCTGGCTTCACAAACTTTCTTAGCTATGCCATCTTGGGCAGTTATTAAATTTTCCTAAGATGTAGTTGGTCATTGCTGAAAAAGTAAATAATCAAGTCTAACTCAAAAAGTATTGTACAGCTTAGAGGAAAAGAAAGGATGTAAACCACCTATGACTGTGACTAGCATGGAGCAGTTGCTGATTCACAACTTCAACCTTTCTTGGAGCACAGGAATAAATGTTTATACTGAATAGTCTGGAGAACATTGTTTTTTCCTCCTCATAATAAATGTTATATTAATACATGTTAATGTTAATATACCAGATGTATATTAATATAATAAATATATAATAAATATATGAATAAAACAAATGTCAATGTAAGCTCACACATGCATATACATACATATATATTGCACTCAAGTTTTCAGATCAAGCTGTATCTTATTAAAATTCCAACTGAAAGCACCTTTTATATTCTTTCATGGTTTATGGTTACAAATGAAGACAAAGATTAAATATTTTAAGAAGAACTCTTCAGTCGGGCACGGTGGCTCGCACTTGTAATCCCAGCACTTTGGGAGGCCGAGGTGGGCGGATCATGAGGTCAAGAGATCGGGACCATCCTGGCCAACATGGTGAAACCCCGTTTCTACTGAAAGTACAAAGATGAGCTGGGCATGGTAGCGCGTGCCTGTAGTCCCAGCTATTCGGGAGGCTGAGGCAGGAGAATCGCTTGAACTCGGGAGGCAGAGGTTGCAGTGAGCCAAGATCGCACCACTGCACTCCAGCCTGGCGACAGAGCAAGACCCCATCTCAAAAGAAAAAAAAAAGGCACTCAGACACTCTTCTAAATAAGAAAAACATTCATGACAAAAGTTAATCAAACTTTTTAAATAATACTAGTTACAAATGATATAAGGCAAGTCAATATTAGACTGTTAATAGAATACTATTGAGTTCTGAAGCGATTTCTTTAAAAAGTTTGTTCCTCCATAGTAGTTCTGCCACCACTCCTCTCTCCATCATCCATGATATACATGGTTAATCTAACATGGCAACTTTCCCACTGAACCCAAACTTTGCCTCAGAATTATTCTCAGCACAGCACTTCAGGCAACTACTACCAATCAATACAGATTGACATGTGTATTGAATCTTATTGGCTATCCCTAGCTCAAAGCACAAGGTATAAATTTTACACTATTTTTAAATTATGAAGCTTACATTGATCATGAGGGCCTCATTTTTTAAATCTTAGTTTTAGAATAGAGAAAAATAAAACATTTTAAAGATAAATCGTTACTTATCTTCATAGACAAGGTTTTTGAGAGTTATCTTGTAAATAGCAACAGGCTGCTACACACCAGGCTTGGTTAAGTAACTTAACTATCTGACCCTGTGTTTTCATTAGTACAAGGAAAATATGTTTTCTAGGCTTTCCTTACAAAAGTCAAGATGATAAAATGAGATAATATATGGAAAAGAGATTTTAACTGTAAATCTTCATACAAATATGAGGTTAAAGCTGGAAGCAATATTAGAAACAAAGTGTCCTACTCTCATAAATTTCTAAGTTGAAAAGGTGGATCCAGTAGGATGAAGTGATTTCTCTGAAGTTACACAGACAATTTGCACAAAGCTGGGTCTAAAACTCACATTTTCTGAATTACATTTCAAAACGGTAAAATTAATTTTTAGCTATAATTATAAACATCTTAATTCAGCTGTAAGTAACAAAGATTCTTCTTTCCCAATTTGCCAGTATCATGGTAATATTTTTCTTACTATTTTTTACTGATTAGTAATACACTTTCTGCTTAATGAATTGTCAGTACTTTTAGTTAAAATGCACCCATTTATGATTTTGTCTTCATATGCTTTTATCTTACATAATGCTTGTGAATCTTATCTTTCAGCTTATTAATTAAAATGTCCACTGAGCTTAATATTTCTCACTGAGGCTACTTAAAAGATGCCTATGGGATTTTATATATGAGTCAAAGTTACTTCCTTTTAACTTTGAAATATCTGAGAACTCCAATTCAACCACTGAAGGAATATTGTCTGCTATGTGTGAGCTTTATGCTATACAGGTTGAGTATCTCTTATCTGAAATGCTTTGGACCAAAAGCGTTTCAGAATTTGGATTTTTTTAGATTTTGGAATATTTGCATTATATACTACCGCTGAGAATCCCTAACCCAAAAATCCTAATAAAAAAATATTCCAATAAACATTTCCTTTGAGCACCATGTTAGCACTCAAAAAGTTTTGGGTTTTGTAACATTTTAGATTTTGAAGTTTTGGAGTGGGGATATTCACCCTGTATTAGGTACTTGGTACAATTTTTTTTAAAGATATAACCATTTTCATATTTAAGGCCTTTGCAGTCTAATTGAAAAATATATTTTTCCATGAAATATATATATATATGTGTGTATAATATTTCCTCATGGAAAATTAAAGGACAACTAATAATACTAGGGGAAGAGTTCTACAAGAGTTCAACAGAGAGGTTGTAATTAGAATGAATTGGCCTTTAAGTGAAAATCAAAGATGTCTTTGATATTAAGTAATTAGTGGGTAAGAATTGATTAGGTGTAAAAGATGTAAATACCTCTGGGCTAAGGATAATTTGATTAAACAAATATTTGTGCAGAGAAAAAACACAGTGCAGTCTCTTTTTGCCTTACCAAGTAAGTAAGCATGTTAGGGAAGGAAGCAATTTACATCACTGATCCTCCGGGTTGAAAAGAACGATACAGATCACCTAGTGGCCTCTTCTGCAATTACTATTCTTAATGAATTCACATACACAGTATATACCCATGCACAGAGGGCCACCATGTGTTCTGATAATGTCTAAATGAGGAAATACCAATTTCACAGTCTGGCACCTGAGGATGATTGCAACTGAATTTCAATTCAGTATTTAGAAAATCAAAAGAAGTCCTTTGGTAAAGAAGAGCAGTTGGACTAGACTACATTTAAGGTGTTTTCCAAGCTTGAGATCCTACAACTGAACAAAAATCAGAAGTAAAATATTCCCCAAATGTGATTGGTTATTTAAAGATGTTAAATTACACTACCACTAAACAGCTTTTTACTACAAGTTCTATAATGCATTTGCTCCTTTTAATCATTTATTTCTGAGTGTTCGATACCGGGAAGAAAAAGATAAATATATATGGTTCCTTCCTGCAAAGAGTTTCTATGCTAATAAAATAAATTAAACATATACCTGGACAGGTATTATACAAACAAAGCCATGACAAAGAGGGAAAAATGTATGAAGAAATTACATTCTCCTAAAGCAGAGTTTCTCGATGTTGGCACTACAGACATTTTAGGCAGATAATTATTTGTTGCGGGGACTGTCCTGTGCCTTTAGCAGTATCCCTAGCCTCTACCACTAGATGCCAGTATCATCTCTCCCCAGTTGAGATGGGCAAAAATGTCTCTGGACATTGCAGATGTCCACTGTAGGAAGAAATTGTCCCAGCTGAAAACCACTAGCTTAAAGAACTCAAAGAAGGTTTTATGAAGAAGAAAGCATAATAATTGGTCTGAAAACCTGGGTGGAAGTTTAAAGGTCAGAGTTGGATGTAGAAATGAGTGAGCTGACTATAGGTAGCACAGAAATAAGCCTTCAATAAAGTTTTCACTCACATATTAAGTTTGTGCCCTGTCTGCTGTCTTGCAAATTCTGGTTACATCAGATCTCAGTATTTCAAGTCTATCTGTAACATCTTTTTCAACCTTGATACTCTTTTTTCTAACAAAGAGAGCCAGTTTCAGGTCGGTGCCCTTAACAGGCAACAATGCCTGCAGAATTTCAAAAATATAATTTTGTCTTCACTGCATATATTTTCTGGTTGCCTTCAATTGGTGGAAGTGAGACTTCTCTTCTGCTTACGGTCGTTAAAAACATCAAAGAGGCCCACAACAATGGTGATTTTGAGAAAAAAATAACAAGTTTGGAGTGAATTTGTGGTGAGTTTGAGGTGGTAAGCAGAATACCAAGTATAAGAAATACAAAAAATTAATTAAAAATAGAAATATTTCAATATATAGTGTGGACATGAAAAATATATGTAAATGCAGCAAAAAGTAAACAAAACAGCAAAAGGCAGAAGGTAATGGGGATAAGTATTTTGTTGTCTATTATTCTCCTCCTTTCTTAAACAAAATCATTTTTATCTTTTAATGAATCTGTCTATTACCATAAAAAATTCCACTTTCAAAAGTGACATTCTGGGAGTGTGATTCCTAGAATGTCATTTTAGCATAACTGGAAAAAATGTGAATAACATACATGTATTTTAATTCTCTTCTATCTAAAATAAATTACTTTATTTTCTTAACAACTTGTCTATTTGACATTTTGGTTGAGCTAAGAAGGAAGGCTTAAAGCTCCGTGTTGCCTCTGAAGGATATAGAGAATTGATTTCTTTTTATTTCTGCGGAAGTTCACTAGGCAAGCTACATGTATCA